GCAGGTTCATCAGGACCAGACAGAGAACAACGAGGCTCCTAGCAAAGAGGAAACCCAGAGGCTCTGCCTCCCACATGTGAGGAGGAGAGGCTGGGTGGTTTATGGTTTGGAAAGCCAGCCACGGTTTCTTTTTTTTTAATTCTCACCTGAGGGTATTTTTTCAGAGAGAGTGGAAGGGAGAGAGACAGAGAGAAACATCGATGTGAGGGAGACGCAGCAATTGGTTGCCTGCGGAACACACCCCAACAGGGGGCAGGGGTTGAGCCTGCAACCCAGGTATGTGCCCTTGACTAGAATCGAACCCAGGACCCTTCAGTCCAAAGGCTGATGCTCTAACCACTGAGCCAAACCGGCTAAGGAACGATTTCTTCATCTTGATAAAAATTCAAAACGTGATGTGCCCCTCGATGCACAGCCATGGTTGTTTCAAACCCTAAGAACGGGCCAGGTGACCGAGTGAGACCTGCTCAGTGGCCTGACTTTCTCCCACACTATCTGCCCCGGCGACTGGAGATTCGCTCAGGGGTGGCTTGGGGTTCAGCCCGGTCCCTCCCTCACACAGTGCCTTGCACATTGTAAAAGTTCAATAAGTGCACTTTTTATCAATGTGGATGGATGGCTTTTGCCCTTGGGCTTCTATTTACAGGTTTCTGTTTACAGATATGCCCTAAATTAGTGGGCCATTTATCTCCACGATGTCGTTAAGCACTCACCGTGAGGCCAGAGGAGCTGAGGTCTGGCTGGCCCGAGCTCCCGTCAAGGGCACTGGCCTCAGGCCTGGGTGCATGTTTGCTAATCTGAGGCGGAAGCTGCGTGACCCGGCAGACCCTCTCCTACCGCCCTGGGCCTTGGCTTCCCCATTTGGAAAGTGAGAGTGGGATTAAAGGATTCTCCTGTAAGCCCCAATACGCTACGGTTTCAATCCTGGGTGACAGTCCCCAGGGAAGGGGCATTAATGCAGAGACCAGAGCTGCGGGCTCAGGACAGGACTGGGACTCAGGAATCAGAGACTGGCCGCCATGCCAAGAGGATTCCATTCTAAAAGTGCCTAATGGCTTCAAGATTAGGGTTGATGCCACAAGCCCTGTGCTGACAAGAATAGGTAGTGGCTGTAATGAAATAAAAATGGGTGGAAGGCACGGGGCAGTCGGTGGCAGGGTGCCCTGTCCTGTGACAGCCGTGGGCACACGCGAGGAGGCCGTGCAGGGAACACAAGATAGGACGAGAGCCAACTGGAGGAGGCCTCTCAGGCTGGACAGAGCACCAGCTGCCGCCCTGCCCAGGCCCCTCTGTTCACCCTACACATGAGCAAACTGAGGCCCAAAGAGGGGGAAAAATGGCCAAGGTCACATGGGTTTGCTATGCAGTGGGTTTGAACTAAAATTCAAAGTCTTTCCTTCTAGGCCTCGTAGTTTACCCTCCAGAGAAGGGCTGGATCCCCCAGGGGGGTATGGGGCCAGGTCAAGGTCAAGGTCAAGGCGAAGGCCAGGGTCCAGTTCAGTATGTGACTCAGGCCAAACGCCACTGGGGGGCGCAGCCAGGGTGAGTCACGGGCAGTGTAGTCACAGCCAGGTCTGTGGAGAGGTTGCTCCCGACAGGACACACGGCACATGGTTGAGGTCACGTTCTTACCAAGTACACGGAGGTCAGACAGGGTCAGCAGGATCAGTGTGGCTTCATCCACAGTTCTGGGCACAGATGTGCTGTCTCCCCGTTTCCAAGTGCCCGACACAGTGGGGAGTGGGGGCTCCGTGGCCAGACCTGGGCCCAGAGCTCGCCCTGCCTGTACCAGGGTGTTTGAACAGGCGAGGCAGGGGAACACTGACATCTCCCCAGGACGCAGGTCCCGAGTATGCCTGAGGTCAGGAGGAGCCTGGGTCTGATGTTCCTGGGCTTCCTGGAAAACCTGACATCGTGCCACCAGCTGCGGGCCCAGTTCCCCAGATACAACAAGAACCGTGGCGCCTCAGCCAGCTAACACAACAGTGCAGACGAATGAGGTCAGGCCCCTCCTGGCAGACAGCTGAGCTCTGAAGGCCCCTGGTTTAGGGGGATCACCCAGCTCTGCCAGCCCACTCGCCAGCCCCCTCTCAGGTACCTGGGCTCCTTCACCCCTGGCTAGTCCAGCGGGACTGAGTTTCCTCCCCACGGTTCTATAGCAACTTGCAGGGGCTCCAAGCAGGACCTCCGGCCCACTGACCGATTCCAAGGGCACCTCCCAATCCACAGGCAACCTGACCGGGGTTGTCAGACAGCAATGGGACAAAATGGGCATATACTTGGCGAGGACTGATAGTCGAGGCTGCATCTTTGTCACTCACTAGCTCAAGGACCTTGGATGAGGCACAGATCAGTTTCTATGCCAAAGAACATCCCACACCTGTCACGTTGAAATCCTCTGATCTTTCCTGCACCCCGGGTGGGCCTCTTACCCATGTGGGATCTTGTAACATCATGCTCTGCGCATTTGAAATACAACAGTCATTGAATTACACAGACCTTCTAAATCCCTTCACACGACAGCACAAACCTCGGTGTTAATATAGCCACCGACGTCATCAGTGTGGTGGAGACAGTTTTGACTCCTACGCTCTCCTGCAGAAGTTAGAGATGGGGGGACTCTGGACCACATGCTGAGAAGTTGTGTGTGAGCGTGTGTGCGTGTGTGTGCATGAGTGAGTGTGCGTGTGTGAGCGTGTGTGTGTGTGAGTGTATCAGTGTGTCAGTGTGTGAGCGTGAGTGTATGAGTATGTGTGTGTGAGCGTGAGTGTGTTTGAGTGTGTGTCTGAGTGTGTGTGTGAGCGTGTGTGTGTGTGCGTGTCTGAGTGAGTGTGTTTGAGTGAGTGTGTGCGTGTGCGTGTGTGTGTGACTGTATGAGTGAGTGTGTTTGAGCGAGTGTGTGCGTGTGTGACTGTATGAGTGAGTGTGTTTGAGCGAGTGTGTGTGTGTGTGTGTGTATGAGTGAGTGTGTTTGAGCGAGTGTGTGTGTGTGTGACTGTATGAGTGAGTGTGTTTGAGCGAGTGTGTGTGTGTGTGACTGTATGAGTGAGTGTGTTTGAGCGAGTGTGTGTGTGTGTGACTGTATGAGTGAGTGTGTTTGAGCGAGTGTGTGTGTGTGTGACTGTATGAGTGAGTGTGTTTGAGCGAGTGTGTGTGTGTGTGACTGTATGAGTGAGTGTGTTTGAGCGAGTGTGTGTGTGTGTGACTGTATGAGTGAGTGTGTTTGAGCGAGTGTGTGTGTGTGTGACTGTATGAGTGAGTGTGTTTGAGCGAGTGTGTGTGTGTGTGACTGTATGAGTGAGTGTGTTTGAGCGAGTGTGTGTGTGTGTGACTGTATGAGTGAGTGTGTTTGAGCGAGTGTGTGTGTGTGTGACTGTATGAGTGAGTGTGTTTGAGCGAGTGTGTGTGTGTGTGACTGTATGAGTGAGTGTGTTTGAGCGAGTGTGTGTGTGTGTGACTGTATGAGTGAGTGTGTTTGAGCGAGTGTGCGTGTGTGTGAGTGTATGAGTGAGTGTGTTTGAGCGAGTGTGTGCGTGTGCGTGTGTGTGTGACTGTATGAGTGTGTTTGAGCGAGTGTGTGTGTGTGTGACTGTATGAGTGAGTGTGTTTGAGCGAGTGTGCGTGTGTGTGTGACTGTATGAGTGAGTGTGTTTGAGCGAGTGTGTGTGTGTGTGACTGTATGAGTGAGTGTGTTTGAGCGAGTGTGCGTGTGCGTGTGTCCCGGCCTCAGCTGGGAACCTTCCGGCTCTGGAACTCTGGTTCCCGAAGTGAGTATTCAGCTTCTGTCCACTAGAGGGCGCACCGAACCAGCCGACCCATCTCCGTCTTGAGGGGAAATCTGTCCATTGCTCCAAGAAGAAAGAAATTCAAAAGCTTTTCATAGGAGAGAGTGAAAGCTTATAAACAAATTAAAATAATTGTGCTACCAATACTTGCTTCAATTTTGACAAAAAATTATATTAATCTGAATTTGGCTCCAGCTCATCACAGTAAGTCATTTTATCTACCCAAAAACAGTGTCTCACTCCAAGCTGAATGATGACAGTTCAGTTATTTGTAACAACTCTTACATCAAAAATAAGTGTTCAACAATCTCAAGGTGTGTCTGCATGTGTGTGTGAGTTGTGTGGACACACACTAGGATGGTTAACTGCACATGTCAACTTGGCTGGGCCATGACACCCAGTCATTTGGTCAAAAACCAGTTAGGTCCTTCGGTGAAGGTATGTTTAGATGGGGAGTGACTGCCCATGGGTTCAGGGTTTCTTTATGGGGTATGAAGATTGCTAAAATTGTGTGAGGAGGTTGCACAACCCTGTAAATATACTAAAAACTACTGAATTGAGGACTTTAAACTGGTTAATTGTACAGTATGTGAATTATAACTCAATAAAGCTATTATAGAGAGAAACCGTTAAATGTTGAAACAAGCAAAAGATAATCCTGAACATATCTACGGTAACAGAAAGACACAAAAAGAAACATCTAAGAATTTTTAAATAACTCAATAGAGCTTTTGGAGATAAAAATTAAATAACCAAAATCGAAAGCACATGGATAAGTTTAACTGCAGGTTTGGCACAGTTTAGGGACTGGAAAATATGTCAGAATAAATGATCCAGAGACAAAAACACTAAGAATGTAGAGAAAAAGTGTAAGTGCTATAAAAAGTGATGTAAGACAGTTTAACATACACTTTATGAGAGCGACCAGATGCAAACCATGAAGAGACGACAAAATTTTCCAGAACTGATTTAAAAAAACGCACACACAAAAAAACACCACAAGGCAGATTCCAGAATAAGAACAAATTCCAAGCAGGACAAATAAAGAGTCCACACCTGAACTGATCCTAAAGAAACTGCAGAAACCAAATACGAGTGAAATCCCGACAGAGGCGGAGGAATGAGTCTGAGAACCACAGCTGACCCCCGACAGCCATGGAGAACAGAAACTTCTGGAGCGACACCCACATGAGCTGGAGGAAAGCACCTGCCCACCTGAAATTCCAGAGAATATGTCCAAGAACGGAGGCGATGTGCATGACTTTTCCCAAAGTAGGAACTGGGAGAGTTCACACCAGCATCTCAGACAAGGAAGCTGCTGCAACACAAAGAACCGAGACATGATGCAGGAGACCTGCCCTATGCGAATGTGTGTTCATGAAATTCATGAGAATAAAGTATAATCGGGTGAATGGTTAAGACATTCACGTCCCACTGAGGTATTTGTCATCACCCACTCCCCTGGGATTCACCTCTTCTGTGGGACAGACTTACTTTAGGGAAACAGGGAGATCTGTTCTGGGGACACACAGAAGGAACAGGTCTTACTTGGGGCCCAGTCCACCCAGGGCCTGTTTTTATACACAGTCCTGGAGTCAAATGGCTTTTACATTTGGCTTTTACATTTTTAAAGAGCTGTGAAAACAAAAGAAAATGAAAAAGAGCCAGTAATAAAGACCAGCAGGTGCCCAAACCCAAACTCTTTGCTGTCTGGCCCTTTACACAAAAAGTCTGCTGACCGCTGCTCTAGATGACCTGAAGCACAGGATGGTGTTGGTTTCCCTTCATTTTGTTTTGTTTCTGTTGCAGGTGCAAAAACTTTTTAATTCCAAGAGCAGTCCATTTTCCTCAGGCAAAGAAAATGTGGAGGAGTCTGGGGCAGGAGCTGACATACACGTAACAACCCAGGTCACTGGCAAGGGTGGCCTGCGGGTGCTCACCTTCCCTTGGGCCCCAGTCCCCACCCCAGCCCCATTGCCAGGCTTCCCTGCTGGCCGAGGGCCCCGCTCCTGCTGGACAGCACAGCTCTCAAATCCTGGGTCACCCCTGCACCAAGACACAGAAGCATGCCATAGACGGAGGCGAGGCTCTGCTCTCTCCTTCCCCCGAGGGGAGTGGTGTGGACGGCCGTGCGGCCCAGGCAGGGCTCTGCTCTCTCCCGCCCTCGTGAGGTTGGCATGGACAGCCGTGCAGTGCTGCCAACCATCAACACTGAGCTGCTCCTCAGGATAAATCTGAAAACCAACGACATCCTGATGGCAGAACAGAATTAGTGAGTGTGAATTAACACTTGAAAAGTGAAAGTGATGTTTTTTAGAGGAAAATGCTTCTAAAACATTCGAAAGTGTAACAAGAGATATTATGCATTTGCTAACTAATATGTAACATTGGCTTACAAAGTTACTCTATGCATAGGTAATATATAGGTGTGGCAACTTTGTAACAAACTTAGGGACATCCTGAACACTTCCCCCAGGAGGTAAGGATGCCACAGAAATACACCGAAGATTTGCCTCCTTACATGATTTGACATTTTAAAGAGAAAGGTGTTGCCTTAATACAGATGGACACAGTCAGGTGTGGATGGGGCCAGGCTCTCTGCTAGGAATTTGCAGTTTCTGGTAAAATATTATCCACATTTCTGAAAAATTGACTGCCGGGCCCAGAGACCACCGTGCAGGGAACCCGTGGCTTGGGAGACCACGTGTGTTCCCTTGTTACAGTGACTCTGAATACATCCCAGGGGCTGGCATGGAAGAGGCCCGTCCTGTGTGAGATTGCTAATTCAAACATGTGTCACCGTGGGATTTAACCCATGTCACGGCCAGCATTACATCTGAAAATAAAAACGGCATTTCAATTCTTTAAATAACAAGCTTTTTCTGCATGTATGCTCAGCAAGTGATGTTAAATGTACATAGGAGGGATTAGAAAATAACTCAGGTGCCTGATTTAGTTCATAGTAGCTGTAACGTCTTGTAAAATGTTTGGGTACTTCCCTCATTCGAGGTCCTGAGGGCTTTCTTCCCACTGGGCCACGCAGTGTAGCGTTTCGTGTCCCCAGCAGATGGCGGCACTGGGGCGCACGGCACCCGACCCAAAGGGGCGGGGCGGGAGGTGGTGTGGTCGTCCGGGTCTTGGTGGGCCTGGGGGAGAAGAGAAATCAGACCACTTAGGGCAGGCGGGGTCTTCCCGGTGCCCACCCCCCTGGGCCACAGTCCGAATCCAGACCCAAAATGCATGGGCTGCAACAGGACTCAGGGCACGTTCCTCAAAGTGGCTTCTAGAAAGAGGATGTCGGGGCAGCCAGGCGGCTTGGCCCCGGACCCTCCCTGGTCTCTCACAGCATCTTCATCCCTGAAAGTCTGCTTATTTCCAGAAGACAGAGGTCACCATGTTCCTTGTCTTCTAGGAACACCGACTGGCCCTTCCTCTTCTGAGCCTGACACTCACCAGGCTCCATAGGCCCCCCAGGCACCTGCCGGCTGCCTCCAGCTGTGGTCACAGCCTGTGTCCACACAACCTCCAGGCAAGCTTTTCACGGTACAGGTGTCCAGAGGCGTGAAGCAAGGAGTGGTGAGTCCAGCCTGCACGGGGAGGCTCTCCTGGTAGCCACCTCTCAGGGGTCCCCAATGGCCCTGAGTGTAGCCTCCCAGCCCCGGCCCCTCCTCCAGCCCCCCTGCCGGCCAAGCAAAAGATCCTCCCAGGCTGGTCCACCTCCCACACTCTCCCCAGAAACACGCCCAGCCCATAGCCGGGCTGGCCACCCTGGGGATGTGCCTGTCCCCACACCTGCCAGGCTCGTCCCTGGGGTGAGCTGTCCTGGGGCCCATCCCCCACCTGGCTGGGCACCACATTCCCCAGGAAGCCTCCCCTGATCCTCGGGCCCAGACGCAGCTCCATGCGAGACTGTATGGTCGCCTCGTGTCTGGGCCCCCGGGGGCTGTGGCTCTGCATCTTACCCCCACCCCCCAAACAGCCAGAACTCGACACTCACCGGGATAACGACTACTAACATGTTTATATTATCCATCCAAATCTCTGGTGCATTTAACCCCAAACACAGAAGCCCTGGAATAAATACATGACCAGTAATCAGACACGGGGTGGGGGCATCCATTCTTCAGGGCCAAGCATCAAAGAGCGACTTCTGTGACCCCGCTTAGAAGTGACTCACACTAGGCCTTCTTTTGAGAAGAATTCAGTGAGCGGCATCAAAGGAAACCGTCCACAGAATCCACACGAATTCCCAAGCCCGCGTCCCCCGCTGCAATGCCCTCCTCAGGCAGCAGGTGTCGCCGTGAGTTTTCCCGCTTGTTCCCTGGACACCCGCCAGCGGGAGCCAAGGAAACTGGAGGAAATTCAGACCCAGGCGAGGTCAGCAGAGAGAAAGGGCCTTTGTCTGCCCGAGCCGGGTTCCCACAGTCACTGTCACACACACAGGACGACAACAGACACTGTCCCTCTGTCCCTCCGTGTCCGCAGAGAGGGACCTGCGACCAGCAACATGGAGGGAAAACATCTGGACAAAGCACTGGAAGGGGGAAAACATCTGTACAGACTCGGCCGGGGCGGTCGTGAGATCACGTACCCAGGTCCTTCCCAGGACAGGAAGCGGGGGACAGGAAAGCAGGAAAGGGACAAACAGCAGGAGGAAGGGCCAGGCCAGCTCCCTCCCAGCGGGACGGCCGTGAGCGGGGCCAGCGCTGAGCCACGGCCTCAGAGCGGGTTGTTCACTCCAGTGTCCGTGGTCCCTCGTGGGAGCAGCTTCCAGGCAGGGCTGCCCTTGTGGAAAGAAGGCACACCTGCCGATTCGCCCGGCCACACTGCCCCTGGCTCCCCTGCAGTCCCTTCCGGCCGGGGAGGGGACGCCACACACAGGTGCCACTTCAGGGTACGTCTCCCACACCTGAGGGAACTGAGCTCAGAGCCGTGGAGGCGACCTCATTGTCCGTGACTCACACCACGTTACCATGTGAATCACAGAATCACATTTTTACGTGTAAACACTTGTAAACAGCAACAGCTGTTGGGCAGCGGTTTAGCTGGAAGAGGAGCCTGACTCTTGACCTCACAATTCCCAGGAAGCCCGTCTGAAGGAAAACAGCGTTTCTAACTCAGACTTGGTATCGGGTTACTCGTGCACCACTCCCAGGGTCGAGATGGAATCGTCATGGTGAGCAGGGCAAAGGGTAACAGTCTAGGATGGGCACCACCCGCAGGCCAAGGGGATGGGGCGGG